CTGGACTTCAGCAACTGTGCCACCCTAGAAGAGGAGATGGTCCTCCGAGCATCACTCGAGGATCCTGTCTACCAGCTGTTAGTGGGCAAGGTGTTTGCTGATGACTGGCACCCCTGCAGGTCACAGGAGATTGCCTGCCTATGGCACTTCTACAGTGTCAGGGACAGGCTGTCCACAACTTGTGGCCTGGTTACCTATGCCTTCAACAAGGGTTGTGTACGTCTGGTCATCCCTGAGGACCTGTCACCAAGTGGCTGCCAACCTGCACGCAGGCCACTCTATGCTCAGGAGGGTCAGGCAAACTGTCTACTGGCCAGGACTGGAGGGCAATCTGCAATATCATTGGTCCTCCTGTGACACCTGCATCACCCATGCACCTTCCTAACCACCTGAGTCTCTGCTCCTGACCCCACCCCTGAATACCCCTTTCAGCAAATAGTGGTGGACATGTTCCAGCTGGAGAGACATATACCTGGCCTACGCTGACTGGGTGGGTCGAGATCGCGCACTATAAAGGTAGTGAAGGCCGCCGGCGGTCGAGTAGGCCGTGAGCAGAGGGGGGTCACAGGATGACTCCCAGCTTGTGTCAAACCAGAAGAGAGAGTGACTGGGTGGCAACAGAGGGCAGGAGTAGGTGGGAGATGGTGGTACAGAGTGTAGCGAAGAGTTTTTCAATACAGTTGGTAAATTCTTGGAAGAGGGATATGATCTGTGTCATGTCACTGGTGGGGGGTTGTGGGGGGGCACCGGTGGGAGCACAAGGCCTGACAGCGTCAGAGTAGAGACAGGGAGGAGGCCCAGTAGTAGTTGAGTTGGGAGACGGATGGGACTGCTGTGTTGTAGCCAGGAGAGGCCAGGCAGAGGCAGGTGTTGTTGTAGAAGGCGTTGCTGGAGAGAGGGGACACGGGGGTGTGGCCCTGAAGACTGGGGGCGTTGTGGTAGATTTGGCCTTCGGGGAGGCTTTTTTCCCCTGGGACAAACGGGCGATTGGGGCATTGCCGTGAGTCAGCATTGTGACGGCCGCCACAGTTACAACATCTGGGATTTCTGACCACCAATAGGTTGACCTTAGCAGAGGTACATGAATTGTACAGTATGGGGTAAGATTATACAGTAATAGGAAATCCCTCAACTTGATCATAGGGGGAGTAATCCCCAGAATCCATGCTCTTGTGTATACAAAAATAATTAATGTAAAAGAAATAAATCTAAGGGAAATTTTTGAGTCATAGATATATATAGCTGGTATATGTATAGTATAGCGATTTTTGCTAAATATTCATTTTTATCATAGTATACCCTTAAAATTTAAAGAAAATCGTTCTCCTTCTTAGGGGGCGCCTGGTCACTATATGGCAGGCCAATCGGAGGCCTCAAAGTAAAGTATGGGAGAATGGCTTCCTCCTATATAATTTCCTTGGTCTAGTTTTAGTGGGAGCATGGGTAGTGCGCACTTGTGAGGGAGATGAGCGGTCACACGGTATACCAGTGTAATGGCTGAGATACCACATGTGCAACACTTTTTGTTATTTTTCCTTTTAGCCACAATGACAAGTTGGGCAGTTCTTTTCACACTGGGACTGCTTTTTGAAGGGCCAGACAAACTATCACTTGCACTAGAAGTGCCAGGGACACTGGGAGAGGTCTCAGGAGGCACCACATGGCACAAGCTCATTTTACATTTTTCCACCCCTTCACCTTTGTCAGTTTACATAGGTGCCAGATCACACCGAAGTTGCCAAATGTACATCTTGTGTGTCTAGCGTTCATACGCAAACAAAATTATTTTCTTCATAAGCAAATTTGCATATGAAACCCCAAGAGTGTTAAGTACTATACTTGTTATTAAAAAAAAAAAAAAAAAGTCTTTCCACAGAACTTTACACGTCTCATTCATTTTCTGGATTTTCCTCAGTTGGAATGAATATGCCTGCATAATAAATTCAGAGAAAATCCAAGAGCATTGTAGTATTTGCTTGTTGTGAAGAAGAGGTTTACAGCAAACAAGAACTCTGCTATTTTCCCTCACTTCAACAGTCACAAATGGTAATTTTGCATGTAAATAAATAGTGATTTTAATCTTAGTATATTTTATTCCTTTGGCCTAACATATGTAGCCACAGATATGTATGGCTAGTAACACAAATTACAGGATGCATGAAGAAAGCAGCCCAGTTTCACAGAACAATTTAAGGAAAATTTTGTGACAGCCTGTTATGAGATAATGAGGTAGCTTCAATGTGAAATTAATGTTAGAATTTTTATGAGGCAAAAGCTACCTAATATCATGAACTCTCAAGTTAAAAAAATAAAAGCAATTTCACCTGAGCTGCCACTTCCACCCTTATAATCTTGCCATTCAATCAATCCATTTACAACAAAGCTGAGGTCACAAACTGGACTTTTTATTCAAAAGTACTGTATACCAAAAGTAACTTTTATCTAGATTATACTGTGGGCTTGTATCTAACATCATTGCCCATTTTCACAAAAAAAGGCCTCGAGTGATTGTCTATAATGTGTGAAAGCTGACTGCATGGTTTTCCTATAACTTGGGAAGATTTCAATCAAAAAGTTGTTTTACATTTAAGTTACTTCATCGACCATACATTTGAGGTTCAGCTTCTCCACAAGTGATAGAATACATTAAGTACAAAGATAAAATAAATATCAGTTATGGCACATAAATAAATTACTCATTAAATTCACTGCACAGTACATTTGCAGCCCATAAAATCTAAGGCATCAGGGTTTTGCAATCATTGATGTAATTCCTTGAACTAGTCTGTAAAGCCCCACGATTACAGCTCAATATTTCATATTTTATGGATGGGCTCTCATGCTGGTATTTGCCATGAATAGCACAAAATCATTTTACATTTCTAAATACAAATATAATTAACTGCAAATACAATTATAATCAGCAGCATATATGAACCTAATTATCTGTATATAATAGATGCACATTTATACAATCAGCTGCAAATACAGTTAGCACCCAAGTTCTGCTGTACTCAATATTATTATCCTGAATAGTACTACTGTGAGGACATATGTTCATGTTTTATGCACAGAACAGCAACACTGAGCATTAAATATAATAAATTTAAGAGCTAAAAAATTTTTACTTTCATGCATGATACCAAGAAAGTTTAATTGCTAGCTCAGTCACTGCATTGCAAGTAGAGCCACACTGAATTTTATGCTGCAATGATATGTATGCTCATATACATAACTAGGAGCCTTTTCAAATATTCCTGATGTGTACTTATAGATGTGTACTTATAGTATGACCCAATGTGATGTAGTCAATACATCTGAGGTAGTGCTTATATGTCACAGGAAATTTTGAGAATGACTGACTATGGCCCTACTGATAGACAAGTTCAGAAGTTTTCTAAAACTAGCCAAGCTACATACCTTTGTTTTCTAGTTTTAGCTGTGAGCAAATGATATACCAAAAGCAGTCATTCTTAAATCTCATGACTATAGTATTCTCAGTTTGGGTGGGTCACACAGTTAGTGTACACACTTCTTTCTGTGTAATGCAAGACTTACATTTGCAGCAAAAATACAAACACTTCTGCAGTTCCAGTAATGCCACTTGATAATAATGAGCTTCAATATGAATGCAATGCTCAATTTCAATTTGTATTTACTGCCAAAAATCACCACTAATGAGTACATTCCATCAACAAGTCTACAAGAATTGAAACTGAAAATATGTTATAAAATATAGTTAAGAAATTTAAGACTTTTCCTGGGTCGTTAAAACATAAGGAGTAGCTAATACCATTCTACCTGAACAAATACAGTACAGTATATGATTTGAGAAAAAAATTGAGACTGGAAAAATTACACCATTTATTTCTTCAACTTTTCTGTCTGCTCTTTTGTTTTGTGCAGTCTTTTAAATCACAAAACTAATCACCTTTACTTAAAATTCACCTGTTCTCATCTTAATGTGAGAGCATTCAATGGTTAAATGATATGATAAGGAACATAATAAAGATATGGAGCATTAAACACTACATTTCCATCCTCCATGACTTAAAAAAAATTGACTAGGGTCACATGCCCATTTATCATACAGTCTCATGTAGATCCACAATGAAAATGTGGTTAAGATAAATCTTGATAAAATCACACAAGGAAAAGGGGAACAATGGAGCACCTTAGCTTTCGTTTTTATTCAAGACATCTTCAGAGGCAACTGAATTACGTGGATCGAGAGAGGCTTAAGTACACAGGGTGACCTTACTAAACATGAGGTCAGGTCATAAACATGACATCCACTAATCCGCACACCAACACCACCACACACGCAAAGGAGCTTAAGAGAAAGGGCGACGTGACTAGTCAAGTTAAGCCAGGTCAAAAATATGGGACCCACTAATCATCTATCCTACATCTAACTCGAATGCTTTCAAAGCATTTTTAACCTTGGGCCACTGACAAATAAATTTGTGTAACATATTATCAGTTTTGTACAATATCAGTACAGCATCTGAAAGCAGTCCACTGTTTGTTCATGTTAGGAACAATAATCATCCCATGGATTGGGAAAACAGCTTAGAAGTGTACAAATCATCATGCGTCACAGAAAGACTTCTGGTTGAAGCTAGTTTGATTAGGGAATTAATTCTATAAACCTTGTGATGGTCAGTACAAAACTGATATGTTACACAAATTTATTTGTCAGTGGCCCAAGGTTAAAAATGCTTTGAAAGCAATGGAGTCAGATGTAGGATAGATGATTAGTGGGTCCCACATTTTTTACCTGACTTAACTTGACTAGTCACGTCGCCCTTTCTCTTAAGCTCCTTTGGGTGTGTGGTGGTGGTGGTGTTGGTGTGCGAATTAGTGGATGTCATGTTTATGACCTGACCATGTTTAGTAAGGTCACCCTATGTACTTAAGCCTCTCTCGGTCCATGTAATTCAGTTGCCTCTGAAGATGTCTTGAATAAAGACGAAAGCTAAGGTGCTCCATTGTTTCCCTTTTCCCTGTGTGATTTTATCAAGATTTATCATAGTCATATATAAATGTGTAAAAAAAAAAAAAAGTGTCTATAAAATGATATACTTTAAATGATAATACATTCCAGCCATGCTTCTAAAGATAAAATATATGAAATAAAAGAATAATACAAAATACAAGACACATGTGGTATTTGTCTTACAAAAGTGAGCAAATGGGTATGGATACAAAACACTGCTGGAGAGTGCACCATGCAAGTAACTGGTGGGTACTTTACAACTACGTACAGTATTGTAATTGAGTTTGGTGTTGCCATTTATGATTCCTGGCTCCAAAAATGTTTTTGAAACCAAGATTTGTGAGCACTATCAACCATTTATGGAAAAAAAAAAGTGTGATGCATCCTAATAAGCCAGACTGTATGAAGCATCCATTGCCCAGATTGTCCACAATTAAAAAATATGACCCGAAGGCAGGGGAGGGATCTTGGGAGAGGAGTTACAAGTTTGCCAAAATATATAATTTAATTTCTAAATGACAATGTAAATAACTTGGCAGTGAGGAACCTCCACCATATGACCCTTTCCTTGCCATGTCAATAAAATGCATGACACTAACATTTCTCTTTTGCTCTGAAAGTTAAAAACTGGCAATCCAACCAGGCTGCCAGATGGAAGCCAAGTATCACATTAAAAAGGCAAGTAGCAGTAACTGAACTACGTATGTTAATTACTTTGTACTTTCAGTGTACTTACTAAATGAATGATTTACAATGAAAATTACAGTTTATGCTCCCTGACTCAGTCAATCAAACAGGAGACTTGTCAAACAATTCCCCTGAGTGAAGGTAACAACTCCAATAGAAACTAATCGAGGACATTAAACAGGTATAACAATAATATAAACTGTTTTAACAGTGACTGTGAAGCTGATACTATTTACAAGTACAAACTACAAATGAAGTGCTTCAGTCAGATGCTATAGGGGAAGGTGGAGGAGGGCAGGGGGCACGGGTGCAGTAAGAGCGTTCTGTAGATGGTGAGGGAGGACATGAAGTGGGAGGGCATGATGTGAGGTCACAAATATATTGCATCTGTGGGGTAGGAGGTGGCGGGTGAGGATCAGAGTCATAGTCTGTCATGGGTGGAGAGGAGTAGTATGTGGTGGAACCAGGGGTGTAACAGTGTGTCCTACGTGGGGATATGGCTGAAGAGTAAACATCTGAATCACAAACATCTGTAGAGCACGGTGTGGGAGGGGGTGGCCTGTTACGGGTTTTGTAATGGCGATAGGAATGAAGGGTTGAAGGTGGTGCATGGTGGGAATTATAGCAACAGTGGGGTTCCTGACACCGACCTCTATTCTCTGATACAGGAGTGGGCGGAGGATTAAGTGTTTCTCTGGGGTAGTGAGTCATGGAAGAGGAAGATGATGATGCTCCTGTTATTGGGGCAGGATCAAACATCCCTCGGGATACTGCACCTTGATTAATTATGCCCCTACATATCCCATGTGCTGAGGGACCACCAACACCAATGGATGAATGAGGATCTCCTGGTGGAGGTTCACCCTGAACTGGAACTTGTGTGTAACTTTTACCCCAAGAAGTCATCACTAACCGACATGGTCTGGGCTGCGATGGTTTGGGTTGGGGCTCCAGTTCATTATCGTCTAACAATGATGGCCTCCGTCGATAATATACAACCAAAGCAGCCACACACACTAACACTACAACTGATGCCACTATTCCTACAATATATGGAGCTTTACTATCTGGTCCAGTTACATCAGGAGGATCTGTAACCCAGGTTGAACATAGGGCATGATCTGGGCTATCAGGACATGGGCGACGACCTCCAGCACAGTGTATGGCTGTATCCACACATCTTCCTGTTGATACACACATAACTTGGCCTGTACCACAGCACCCAACTTCATCAGTTCCATCACTGCATTGTCTTTTACCATCACAAACCTGAGATTTGTCTGGGGAGAGAAGAAAACAAAAAACAAATTAAAAAAATCTTAGTAAGTAGATGAAAAGTGACAGCCCACATCAAATTATAGTAATTTAAAAATCGACCTCAGCTACCTATAACCTACTTGGTATATAACTGAAAGGGGAATGGAGGGTTGGGTTGGTAAATCAAACCCACTACATAAGAAAGACACTTATATTTCAACCAGACATTTTGGAAGCCTACTTCACCCTCTTCAGTTTCGAGTACATGTACAGTTTCGTTCAAGATTCTTCGAGCACTGTTGGAGACAGCTGGCAACTCAAGGCCGTTTGTTTACTATAGTACATAGTACAATATAATACTAAACAACAAAGCCCAACCATTAATTAAAAAACGGGGGTTTAAGTAACCAATCACTTTTACATTTAGTGATAATTTTTACTACGTATTATAGTAACCAAACGGCCTTGAGTTGCCAGCTGTCTCCAGCAGTGCTCGAAGAATCTTGAAAGAGACTGTACAATACAAAAATGCAAAATACTATACTCAAAGCTCAAGATAATACTAATGATTATCTAAACTGTGTTGCTAAAATAAATGTTTTCATTTTCTAATTTGGATTTGAGTTGCAAACTTCATATTCACATAAGTTAATCCTTCTAACTCTTAAATACTTATAGCGACCACGAGTTGTGGATGTTTTAAAAATAACCAAAAAGCAAAATTCTGCATCTTGGGTTTTACCCAAACCTAATATAACCTATCTAATTAAACCAAACCTAGCAGGCAGTAAGCAGATATCAAACAGGGAGGTACTACCACCTGGGAAGATATTGGAAGCTGCTATATAGCATCACGAAAATTGTGACCAAGTCCCAGGTTGCTGATCTGACTTTCTGCCTCATTTACACACAATTGCAGGGTTTCAATTGTTTATCTTACACAACACAACACAACACATACATATATCGTTTCTCACTACTGATTTTTTTTCATTTTTGTATTTCTTTATGGTTCTTTATTATTATTATTATTATTATTATTATTATTATTATTATTACAGTGTTGTTGTTGTTGTTGTTGTTATTATTATTATTATTATTATTTTATTTTATTAGTAATTTTGTATCTTTTATTAAAATTTTTATTTCTATGAATTATTATTCATTTATAATTTATTTCCTATGAATTATTCCTCTTATTATTATTAAATCCCCCCCCCCCTCTCCCCCAGGCCCCGATGTGGGTCAGTGACCTTGTGCCCAGGTGGGCTAATCCCCGTAATAATTTTTTTTTCTAAAAACCAGTTTTTGTGATATACAGTAGTCCAGAATACGACATTTAGCTTTATACCTAGGTGTATGTAAATGCCTAACATTAACTCGCCAGGCCAACATACAGGCAATTAAAACATCTAATAATTATTTAAATACATAAAATTAGGAGAACACTTCGCTACCTGGCATTTAATTGCAATTCTCAAAACCCCCTCCCGCACCCTCCATCACACGCATTGCTACCGTCATCTCTTGCCCTAGAGCGAGCTGTAAACAAATGTCAACTCTCGAGGGGTAGAGATGGGTGGGATGTCGATGTCGCATTCTGGACTATATCACAAAAACTGGTTTTTAGAAAAAAAAAGAAGGCTTTTTGTTCAATCCAGAATGCGAAGTCTAGCTTTGATTACCCGAGCAGGAGGTGGAGAGGGAGGTGACATTGCGTATAAGGCTCCGCTAGCTTAGGTCCAGATTTTAATTATAAACTTTTTGGAATATTTTCCAATACAAGTATTAAGAATATTGACCGGAAGGTAAAATGTTAATTTACATATCCCAATTAGGATACTCACTTTATTCTGATGAGGAAGAAGAAGGTCTTGGTTGTGGAGATTAACTAGGTGGAGGAGGGGACCCCAGTACCACCACATGTGAAGCATCTTTCAGAGATAGATGAAGATAGCTGTTTTGAAAGGTTTTTGAAGATTTCCAAAAGCCCACTTCTTTGATCTGACTGAGGCTCATATGCAGCAGAAAGGCCACAGACCCTGCATATTTCCTGGTGTCACGTGCAAAAAATTTCTTGCCAGGGTCTGCTTGACTCACTAACCGAGATAATTATTTTGTCATTTGATGAGACAATTTCTTACCATCCTGTGATGAGAATACATAGGGGCCTCGATTAGAGAATCTGGTTAACCATTCATGAATATTCTTAACCGGGTACAATATATGAGGAACCCTAGTCTCATCCATTAGCCATTTTATCCTGATAGGTTGAGCTTGAAATCCTCCCTTTCATTTTTTCTTAGAATCTCCGTAGGGAAAAGGGCGACAGCTTCCTCAGAAAATACCAATAATGATGGATTATTGGAAATTGAAATCAGCTCACTGATTCTCATACCTGTTGCTATTGCTAGAAGGAAGGCTGCCTTCTGGAGCAATCTGTCCCGGTTTAGATTTATATTGTAATAAGGCCCCATAAGAAATTTAGTAAGTTTATCTAGAGACCAAGGTGGGATTCTCTTAGGCCGAGGGGGTCTCTGAATGAAAAAGGACAATCTGAGCATTTGATAAATTTTTGGGTTCAAAGTAATATTAAAACCCCACCCCAGAGGGTCAACCATTGCTGATTTATAAGATGCAGTTGTAGATCCTTGAAGGCCTTTAACTTTGAACAGAAAATCTAAAAATTCTAACACCATTGTTTCCGACAATGTGGTTGGAGTCGTTAACATGATAAATTGTTGAAAAAGTTTTCAAGCATTCTCATATTGCATAGAAGTTTGGAGTCTATAACCTGCTATCACTTGGTTAACTATATTGGAATTACCCAACAATCTATTTAAATATCTTTTGAGAAACTCCAAGGGTGAAGTGCCAAGGATATCTCGAACTGAGGGTGCAGTACCTGGTCTAGACATCCATGTTGCAATGTAGTGGATGCGGGCACCAGACCAACAGATCCTGACACCATGGTTGTAGGATCCAATATGGTGCAATTAAGAGGACCTTTCCCAGGAAGGATCTGAGATTGTGAACCACTTTGGGCAACATTTTCACAGGTGGGAACAGATAGATTGAATTCCAACGGTTTCGATCGTTCCAGAGATGCATAAGTTGGCATCTTGTGATTGATTTGTGAGGCAAAGAGATCTATTTGTGGAGTCACAAACCTCCTCACTAGACTCTTGAACTTCGATATCTTTAGGGACCATTCTGTTTCTGTTGATACTGGCCTGAGACGGGACAACGCATCTGCCCAATTGTTTTGTACTCCTGGTATGTGAGTTGCTTTGAGGTTAAAGTGTTTGAGTTACACAAACTTTGAAATTTTTTTCTGACAGTGTGAGAAGGGGCCAAGATCTGGTTGAGCCTTAATGATTGAGACAAAACACTGCCGCTCTGTTGTTTATGGCAAACAGAAACGTCAAGTTTTTGAAAATTGGGTTTGCCAACAAAAAGAATATGACTACTGCTAATTCTTTTATGTTTATGTGTTTGTCCCAAAGGGAGTTGCTCCACTTCCCTTGACGGAACTCTCCTTTTGAGGAATGGTATCCCCATCCTATCTCGGATGCGTCCATACAAACGACCAAGTCTGTTTGAGGGGAAATCCAGGGAGATGAACCGATTAGATTGTCCAATTTGTCCACCATGACAGATGATTCTTGATCCGACTAGAGAGAGAAGAAGCAATATTTTTGTTTCTGTGAAGCAACTTCGACCCCAGATGAGTTAGTTGCTTCTTCCTTAACATGCCCAAAGGAACTACTATGGTGGCAAAATTCAACAGACCCAGTAGTTTTCCCAATCGTGCCAAGAAACCTCTTGCTTTACACAAAAGTCTTCTACTTGGTTTATCACATCTGTTACCTTTGCTTCTGGTAGACTGACTGACTGCTGATTGGTGTCCCAATGGAAACCTAACCAATCCAATTTCTGACCTGGTTTATCTTTAATCCTAGGTTTTGAAATAGTACTAGTGTACGTTGGGTCGCCCTTTGACAGTCTTCGAAAGTTTCCCACGTTCAGTCAATCGTCTAGATAAACAAAAGTTCTTATGCCCTCCTTCGCAAGGATCTTCTCGGGGATGTTCGCCAGTTTTGTAAACACTTTTGGCGCAATTGTTAGGCCGAATGGCATCACTGTGAATTGATAACTTACATCCCCCCACTGCGAACACTAGAAACTTTCTGTACCTGGGAGCAACAGGCACGTGATAATAGGCATCTTCGAGATCCACTTTTGAGATCCAAGCATTGGGCGGAAGTAGACGCCTCAGATGATCAAAAGTGAGCATCTTGAAACTTCCTTTGGTAATGAACTTGTTCAGGACGGAAAGATCTAAAATCCACCTCAATTTGTCGCTGCCTTTCTTGGGGACAGGGAACAGGTGAAACATGAAACGCCTCTCTGACTGCAACAGCTCTATCACACCTCTGTTTAACACTTGAATTTCAAATTCTGTGAGAAAGGAGGTTGGTTCTGACCCCTTTTTGGTAACACTAGGGGAAGGCGCCTCAACCAAGTCCATGTAAGGCCCCCTTTGATTGTCTTGTAAGCCCATATGGAAGAAGTCCACCTGTTTTCCCAACCCCCTAGACGACCCAGCTGTCTGGCTTCATTGGGAGGGAGTGGTCGCTGATGTGGTGGAATAAGGTCTCCTTCCACTTCTGAACAAGCACCACCCTTACTACGTCTTGAATTGTTTCCTCCTCTAAAGTTTCTTCTAGGTTGATAACTGAACCTAGCAGCTGGTCCTGTTCCCCTGTTAAACCTTCCTCTTTTAAATTTCTGAAAAATCTTAGAACTCCTGGGAACAGTAATATGAATAGCTTGCTCAACAGCTGATCTATACTTAACTAATGTTTGTTCATCAAACAAGGCAGGAGAAAGAGGGGAAGAACATAGCAATAAATAAGCACTACCACTTGAAGCATTATTAGTGGCTTGCTTCCTTAGCTGGGCTTTTAGTTTTAGGGCTTCCAACAACATTTCGATAAATGAGTTGTACAGGGAATATGGA